TGAATGTGAGAGTGAATGAATAGTGGAATTGTAAAGTGCTTTGGGTGCCTTGAAAAGCGCTATATAAATCCAATCCATTATTATTAAAATTGTAATTAAAAGCAGTAACATTAGCCTTTCAAGTTTGTTTTAATCATTTGAGAGTTACATTAAAAAAGCCTTTTTATGTAGCAATCCTGTGTAGTTCTACGTATAATAATGACTGGGAGTGTCCAATAGGACTTTCTATTAAAACCAAAAGAAATCAGTTTCTGTGCCAAGTAAGTGTTTGTGGTGGTAAGTGGTGACCTCTGGTGAAATGTCTGACTCTTCCACCGTACGACAGCCTCTCTAATGTTTTTCTATGTTTTCTGTCTCCTGCCTGCAGGCTGAGAGACTGAGAAAGATGTCGCCCTCCAGAGAGCTATGCATTCTTGGCGTAATCGAAGTTGTTTATCTGTGGAAAGCACTGCAGAACTGCTCCTCATCTAAACTGCAGATAATGAATCAGGGTGAGTGTAGCCCATACGATTCAGATCAGCATTACCTTTGTCATCATCTATCCTGTGTAATCATTTCCTGTTTTGGGGGGGGTTCAGTATTGCAGACTATAGATGACACTTCGTGCAGAGGCCTGAAACACCTCCTTCTCGGTGCCATTCATAAATGTCATGGAAATATGAGAGACGCTGTTCAGGTATCAATCCGCAGCGACACACTGAGAGGCTTTGCAGTGGATCCACACTGGCAGATTTACTCATTTTGCTCTTTTGTGTGGCCTTCCAGTCATTCCAGCTGGCTGCTAGAGATGAGTACGGACGACAGATCAACTCATACGTTCAGCCGTATGCCGTCTATGAGCTGGGATGTGTACTCCTTGCAAAGCCAGAGGTCAGCTTGCTGGTCACAGCTTTTAGATTTTTTTTTATTTGTCTGAGATGTTGGATATTGTTGCGACTACGTGCCTAATTATAACCCCATGGTTTTTGTGCTGCTATTCAGACGGTGGGAAAAGGTAGATCACTGCTACTTCAAGCAAAGGTAAAATAATAACTTATAAGTTATTTGAATTAGAATGAACTCATTTGCAGTTTTCTCAACAAAAAAAACCCATTTTAATACATGTCTATATTATGTTTTAGGAGGATTTTACAGGCTACGACTTTGAGAACCGGCTTCATGTTCGCATCCATTCAGCCCTGGCCTCTTTGAAGGAAGTAGTGCCTGTGTGACTCCAGACAACTATGAGCATCAATGGCTGAATTTTTAAGCCATTCAGAGTAACTGTTTGATGTCTTAGTGAAGGATTTGGGGAAATACATGTTTGTTACCCCACCCAGTCAGACTGACAACCAAGTGTCATCATAAAAATAGCTAGTGTGGCTATTACTAGCAGGCTTAAAACTATGCCTAAAGTTTTCAAAGTTATACTTTTATAGATGTATATTGTTAGCCAGCAAGTTAGCCACCAAAACCTATGTTGTTGCTGCATGGTGCAAGAAATATTAAAAACTTTAGGGCAGATTATTTTCATTGTATGATGAGGTGAATCATATACATCAAGCTAAAATCTAAATAAGAAATTCTGGGAGCTTTACGAATGTGTTTCTTTTAGTTTACATCCAGCTACGATAGCTGTTTTCACCTCCAAGGCATCCATGTCCTGTTTCTGGATATGATCCACGTAGATGAAAATAAATGAGTCCTTATCCCTGGGGAAAAATAACAAACAAACTCATTTCCTCCAATCTTTAACTGTTCCTTTAAGTGTTTTTCTCATGCATATGTGTAAGCTAGCTTGTAACAGTGTACCTCATTAACTTGTGTATTTGGATGACTTTAATGAAGCCTCTCCCTTCAGTGAGCAGTTTACTCAGCACACAACCTCTTAATGAGAGTGGAATTCCCTCAATAATAGTTTTAAAACGGATAAGATACAGTTAATATTGCTTTTACATTTGTGCCATCTCACTCCAACTATAAAAAAGAAAATGCTAAATTAAATTCAGTTGGGTTTTTTTTTACCACATAACATATTGTGAACAGGAGTGAGTAAAATGTAATATTTGATATATTTAATACATTCTTATACAGACAGATGACAGATTAATGGAAAGAGAGCAGTGGTGTTTCTATCGTGTCACCTTTCGGAATTTTTTTTTAAAATCAGCAGTTTTGAATAAAAAAGCAACAAAGCTGAATTTTAGTAACCGACGGTTCAGCACTATGACATCAGCAACGGCCTCTCTGCGGCTATGTTCCTCGCAAGTGGGCCCTGAGGGGATCCAAGAGTTCTGTTATGCTGTGGAAAGTTATTTTGATGTCTTGGTTTTGATTCACTTGTTCTCTTAGAGATATGAATCACTGCAACTACTTCAAAAAACTGCTCAAATAAACCCTAGATTTTTGCATTTCAGTACGGCTTTATCCTATAATGGAACAGTTTAATCCTTAAAGGCGATTCCAGGGTGACAGTGCCTCCATCTATAAGACATGAGGGTCACAGAGTTGATCGATAAGTACAAATATCATGCGAATCCCATCGTATGGCCTCATTAATTACTAATATTGGCTTTTCCTTTAATTTGTCACCTGTCTGTAAATTATTAAATAGCTTGCTAATGTTTCAACTGTCACTTCAGTGTTAAAATCGTGCTTTTGGTGACTAAATTTTAGTAATCTGCCTGTGGACTTTGAACAAAACGGACACTGAAACAAGTCATACCGTGTCACACAGTTTCATTACTATTCACAGTGGAAATAAACTAGCAAACTAACTTGGGAATAGTTAAATAACGTCACTGGTCACCTAATCTTACAGCGGCTCAAGTAGCTGGAACTTTAACAAATGAGACGACCACACTTCACAATGCCCTCATGGTGTTGCTATGTGAAGACACTGGGCGTGGCTCCTGTGCACTATGCATGGCATGGCAGGGTAACAGTGGCTTTAAGACTGTACTGAAGTCAAATGTACCTGTGTGTCCAGTCCTGCATATATATATATATGACGGTATTATAATACAGTACCTTCAGTGCTGTCATGTTACCTCTTGAAAGGTGCTGCTAAATGTCAGCGTAATAAACATATATTACTAGTGACTTCTTTTGTTAGTGTTTTAGTGATTGAAGCTTTTGAATTAGTTCTTAATAGTGGCAAGTTTATATATTACATAAGAGGAGGTGCACTTTTTACAAGCAGTATTTATGCTGTTTTTAGTTTGACTGCTGTGATGGCTGGCGTTAGCAGCTGAATTGACTCAGTATGATCTTGTATTGGACAAAGAACATTGGTGAGAGTGGTTTTGACAACCTTTTTAACCAGTTTAACACTGTACATATGAAAACTTCTGTGCAGAGAACTGCCTTTTATGAACAAGCACTCCGAGGCTTTTGTTATCCGAGCAATACAAGCAAATGAAGGGTATCATATAGTCATTTAAAAAGGCTTTCCACACTGACTCTGTGTTTTTCATCACATCACATTGTAAAATTAAAGGTTTATTTTGCTGACATACCTGGTAAGACAGTGCTAGTCATCCCTTGTGGCTGTGATGGATATAACATGTGGTAAATGTTGAGCAGTTGAATGCACCCAGTACTTCTGTCACCGAAAGATTTTCTTTTGTCACGAGATTATGTTGGAATTAAAGTTACAAGTCAGGATGATGGTGTTCAAATGTGTCACTGAACAATAAACTGTTCTCCATTAATCCAGGTAAACGGTGTGTGTTTTTCTCTTCCCTCTGCACTGAAATTGCACCTTCGAAAAGTGATGTTGCACCGATGACTTTTGGTAGACACACAATAACTGCACTTTCAAGAAAATGTCTGTGAAACTGCTTGTTATGCTGTCAAGTTTCTATGTATTCCCATTGAATTTATCTTTACTAACTCCAGCGTCCTCCCACGGTCCAAAATATGCATGCTAGGTGAACTGACTTGATTAATGCTCTATTAATGTAGTTGAGCAAATCCCAGATAGTTGATTCAGTAGTTCTGGCAAAACATGAAGTGGGAAAAGCATTTCATTACTCATTCAAGTCATTTATTCAGTCATTATATCAACTTTTTGGGATTAGGTGAATTAGTTATTCTAAATTGGCCTAAAAGTGCTAAATGAGTTCATGGTTTGAATAGTCAGTATGACCAGAAACATATTATATAAATGGCAATACATTACATTCATTAAATTTTTAATTCCATTCATGTGCACTCTTATAAATATCTCGCAGTCCTATTGGATCACAGGCTCCCTGAACACCAATATTCTCTGCAAGAAGGGGCAGAGCCGCCTCTTCTTCCTGCAGAGGCAGAGGTCCTTTGGTGTGTGATGAGATGCTGCGTATATTTAATCACACCGTTGTGGCCTGTGCTGTGTTTTATCCTGCTGTATGTATGTATCTATCTATGCACTTTCATTTTTTATATCTCAAAGTAAGCGTGCAGAATACGACAAGCTGGATTTTTACCACACCTTCATCACAATGACAGCCGAGCACAGTCACGATAATAATGTGAACTCGCTGAAAATATGCAGTGATGGAAAATTATTCAAATGTGCTCATCAAACCCCAACAATCAAATGGGGATGGTGGGATGGAAAAACTCCCTTTTTAAGAAACCTTCGGCAGCATGAGGCTCAAGGACGGTGCAAATGGTTGGGGATGAAAGAAAAGGCAAAAAAAGAAAAAATAATCAAGGGCATACGAGGACAGGACAAACCACATGGTGGGAGGAAGAGGACCAACGTTACTGACATGCAGTAGTGATAAATTCACACACTGAGAGTAAAAGACAGAAGTGGAGCAGAAGTGCTCAGTGCATGATGGGAAGTTAATTAGCAGTTGTGTCCTATAAAAGCATAACTAAAGGATGGATCAGGGTCGGCTGATCCAGCTGTAGCCATAAGATTGATCAAAAGCAAAGTCATAAGTTTAATGTTAAAGAGAACATGTCTGGTTACACAGGAGAGGGACAGGAAAGCTGAAGGCTCAGCCTCCCATTAGACTTTTGGAAGCTCAAAGAATCAAAGTAAACAACTCTCTGCTGCCACACAGCTCATAACTGTTATTCACTCCCTGTCCTGATACTCCTATATCATTTACTATAAACAATAACGGTACACTATTATTGCAATCTAGACCACAGCTTAAAAGTTCATAGAGAATTAGAAAGGTCTTATTTCCTGACAACAGTGAAATTCTTTTTTATGTTTTACTAATCAGAAGTATAAAGAACGATTATAAACGATTAATTGTAACATTTATCATAAATCACGAATGAGATTTAGTGGAATGTCTACAAAGGTGTACTGTTAACAACAGAATGAGACACTGTGGTAAAGTTTAACAGGTTTATTTGCAGATAGTTATGAATACAGGATAAACGATGTGGGCACCAGGAGACGGGGCAGAGGTGCCGCAGGTTGTCTGAAGGCACACTCAGGCACTGTCACAGAAGATTGGAAGGCAGAGGGGCATCACCTGAAAAAGATAAGCACATGGACAACAACACGGACAGAGGAGAGAGAGAAAAAAGCAGGAAGAGAAAAGAGGGCTCGGGGACCATGACATCTACAGAGGCCCATTTTCAGCATTTATACCTGTTGTTTCAGTGGTACATTGTGTTACCCACTGTCAGTTTTCTCATGTTAAATCCAAACTTGTCAATCAAGAAATCTTTTTCCAAAGACATCAGCACAAACCAAAATCATTTTGCAGATTAACAACGGTAAATTTGCGAGGTTTGTGATGGATCATCCCATTTTTCCTTTATAATCACATTAAATCAAATTTGCATCTGGTTTATATCCATGTGATTTGTTCATACAGGAGTAATTGATACTAAAAAAGTGCCCATGTGTAACTGTGTAGACATTTCCTAACACATCATGAGTGATTTTCCATAAATGATTCATGAAAAAGACATCTGTGAAAACATTACTGATAAACTTTATGTAATATTACGTTAAAGCAAATGTAAAGTCATAACTGAGACAAGAATGTTTCAATCTGACCACAAACTTTTGAGCAGTAGTGTGTATTGTGTACATGTGTCTGTCTTTATCTGATCCGGATTATTTTAGTTGTGTCTATCATCAAAAACTGAGTTGAAGTGTTTAAGGTCTGATGGGAAACTCTTCCTAACAAGTCCACTTTATGGCTGCGTGCTCATTTTGTCCTATTAGTGGCTCATAGGTGTCTAACTAGTCCACTTTATGCATATGTCCTAGTGTATCATGCTTATCAGTGGCTCATGGTTGCTTAAGGCCTATGTCTGTACTTGACCACAGAGGCAGAGCATCGTTCGATCCTGCCAGCTGCCGATCTAGGGAGCATTTCAAGGATGACACACTCCACTTTCTCTGCAGCAAGACAGCTCATAACTTTTTAACAGTGTTTCCCTGTCCTCATACTTCCACTACAGCTACAGCGTGAGAGAGAGTTCCAGTTGAAAAGGGAGATAGAGCTTAGGTGTTTGGACGCGGAACTGGCTAGGGCTAGGGAGGTTGAGCTGATGAAGGTGGAGGCAGAGACGAAGGTCAAGCTGCGACAGCTGGAACTCCAGCAGGCCTCCTCCCCTCCTGTGGTGGCTTCGCTGTCACAGACAGACGTACAGTTTGATGTAGGACGGAATAGTCGTCTGGTCCCT